ACACACACACACACACATATATATATGGTTGTGTTGGTGGTGTGCCGGGGAGTCAGTAGCAAACCTGCATAGGGTTTCAGAGGTTGTAAATCTTTATAGAACCAGAAAGTCTCATCTTTACCCTAAGGAACAGCAAGTAGTTTTGAACTACTGACCTTGAGGTTAGTAGCCCAACTCATAACTACTATGCTACTAGAACTCCTTATATATATAGTGGTTATGCCTTAGACTGCTAACCGCAAGGTCAGCAGTTCAAATCTAGCAGTCATTCCAAGGGAGAAAGGTGAGGCTTTCTGCTTCTGTAAAGATTTACTGCCTCAGAAACCCTATACAGGGCTGCTATACTGTTCTCTGAGATTATGTGTATTTTTTACATTTTGCCTGTAAATTTTTCCATCAAAGAGTAACATCCATAAATTTGGAAGAAGGTACGAGGTACTAATAAATACTTTTCACTTTCATTTAAATCTAGTAAAGAATGGTCTATTTCTTGTCTTGAGAGGCTTTACGCTTCTCATCTTAAATTTTTAGTTTTTGCTTTAAATATTTGTAATTCTGATACACATTATTACAATTTTCAAAATTCACTTCTACATTTCCTTGAAATTCTGTCCTAAATTTTTTTTTTTTTTGCCCAGGAAATAGGGAAGATTTCCTCACTTAACACATTCAATGTCTGTATAAAAATGAAAACATTCTTTCTACATGCTTTTCCCCTTAAGTATTTTATTGAAGTGTGGTAACTTTAGTATATAATGTTGAAAGTTTTCATACTTTCTTTTTGTTTGATATATTCATATTTTCACGAGGATAATACCATAAATTTCATAATTTTTATAAGAATTTATTTCCCTTTTTTAAAAAAACTTATTCCTTCACAGCCAAGGACAAGGGAGTGAAAATTTTACCCCTGAAAGAATATTCTGATGTTGTCAAAATGATAACCAAAGATCAAAAGACTGTGAAGGAAATTATAAATAAGTTCACGTGTGGCAAAATGCAAACTCACTCAATTATGACAGAAAATGCTACAATAATTGAAAAATGTATAAACACCAACATGAATGTCAAGAAAGGAAGGAATAGAAACATGCACAAATTAAAAAAAAAATCTATTTTGAGTGACTTCTTCAAGCCTCTGCCAAAAATGTTCCCATTTTAGGACCTATTCTGCAAGCAGAGAGGCATGGGAAATGGTGAAAAACTTAAAAGCTTACCAAGTCTCAGCATGTAACGGGTGGTTTCAGACAAACAAATAAATCATTTGCAATGTAGCTTGTGGGGAGTGATATGAGGTTGACAAAGATTTTTATCAAAACTGGTCCACAAAATTAAAAGAGATCATAAAGGTATATGATTTTACAGACATCATAAATGCCAGTGAGACATCTCTGTTTTACAGGGAAAAGTCTAATGACCTAAAACCAAGCCCACTGCTGTTGAACTGACTCCGACTCATAGCAACCCTGCAGAACAAAGCAGAACTGCTCCCTATGGTTTCGGAGGATGTAAATCATTACAGAAACAGATTGCCTCACCTTTTTCCCATGGAGTGGCTGGTGGATTCAAACAACTGAGGTTCTGGTTATCAGTCCAGCATTTATTTCACCATGCTACTGTGTCACTGTGGGTTAATGTGCCAAACTGCAAAGCCGTTTGAACTGCAAAGTCGGCGGTTCAGGCTCACCAGCTGCTCCTTGGAAACCCTATACAGGATTGCTATGAGTCGGAACCGACTTGACGGCATTTAACAACAACAACAACAACAACCCTGAAAATGCTCATGGGGTCAGTTTCCAAAAGCATGGCTTAACTGTTCTCTTAACCATGTCAGCATATAGGACATTTGAGAAACCATGAGTAACTGTAAAGAGTAAGAGCTCACAGAGCTTTAAGAATATCAAGAATACCAGTATGAGATATAGTTATCCTCCATGGTAAGATCTAATATAATGTAAAAAAGCCCTCTATAATTAGCTCTACTATGAGCAACCACTCAATTGAAAGGAAGTTTCCTTGGGGATGTAGGCTACTTCCTATATATTAAACACTCAGGCAAAGCTTGCTCTTTCTGCTGAGTCTGGATCCTTCATCTGGCTTGTTATCTAGATTTAAGGGTGCTGACCCTGGGAGTCATCAGCAGTCAGCCATCTTAGCTGCCAGACCTGCCTGTCTGCCTGCCTGCCATTTGACTTGCTGATCTTGGTTCATCTGACCCAAGGACATGGGGCTTGCCCACTTCTTTATATATACATACATAATTAAGCTTCTCATACATGTCCCAGCCTTAACTGATAGATTCCTACTCAAGTTCTAGATTAAATACTTTAATAATTTCTGTATGTCTAAGAGGTCATCTTTGAAATCTCAGTGCTAGGCACTCAATAAGGATATGTGGAATGAAATGCATTAAATAAGGACAAGCTGGCAATGAATTTGTAATAAAAATAAAAGACAAGGTCTTCTACTTAGCCTCCTGGACCTTTCAACTGTTTAGAAATAACACTATGACTTCTTTTAAGAAGCTGGGCTCACCCTGAGACTCACTTAGTATTCATCCTTTTTAATCTGATAAAAGTTTGCAAAAGTCTTCTGCTACACATTTTACTGTACTAATTTCTATTACTTACAGCGACTGGGTGGGCTGATGTCCATTACAGTCAAAGTAGGATTGTCTATGTCACTTCCCCTTCTTCTTATTCGATTGTCATCATACTCTGGGGTAAAGATACTGCTTCCACTACTAGTGCTTAAGGAATGATCAGTAGGACTAAAACTCACAGGAGACCGGAAGCTGGTTCCCTGGGTCCTTCTAGCTCTTGGAAAAGTTTTACGACCTACAAAATGAAAAAAACAACAACAAAGGATCACCTTATACTTTTTATTAATATATTTTAATGGACTTCATATTTGTAACTTAGGGAACAAAAAATTGTCCTGGTAAGAAATGAAATAGCAACAATGATACGTTTTAAACTTGAGAACAAATTTAAAAAAAATATAAAACCTTTTATTGTGAATTTAGTGGAGGTTTACAGAACAGTTCATCAGTTTTACATTCAACAAATCATATACATATTTTGCTTCATTACAATGATTACAATTTCCTCCATGTACCACCAATTAACAGTATTTATCTCTATTCACTGTAACACTTGCATTCCTCCCTGTGTCTGCTGTTACCTTCATCTTTCCTCTTGTATACTGCCTGCCCCATGTTAATATATGTCTGCCCTAATCCATGAATAATTTTACCTCTTTCCCATCCCTGGTAGCCACCACAGGATGTTTCTTTTACCAAGAAAATCTTTTCTTAACTTTTTACAACTGTGCTCTCATAAAATATTTGTCCTTTTGTAATTAACTAATTTCACTCAACATAAGAGAGTAGATTTTTTTTAAAGAGTTCAAAGTAATATCCTTAATACCAATGAATCACAAAGTTAAAAAATAGAAAAGGTGAAAGCAGAAATAAAGATAAAGAGTGTTAGGGGGAAAAAACAAAAAAAATAGGATCTGATTGTAAATTAAAATAATTTCTTTCTAATGGTGAAATACATACACACATGAGAAAATCATAAAAAGAAGCTCTCTTACTTTTGAATAGAAAGGAGAAAAAGTTTTAAGTCTCATTTCTAATAATGCTTCTAAAATATAAAACAAAAATTGTAAAGTTTTTAGGTAGCAATCATTTTTCTTTAAAGGGGCAATGCCAGTATGTGTTCCATCATCATAAATAATTTTCTAATTAATGTCATTTTGTAATTACTCCTTTTCTTCTAAAAAAAAGGCAGGCTTTATGAGATAAGTTGACATAAAGTTAAAGTTGTAGTTTTAATTATAATCCAATTTTCTTAAAAACAGTTAAAAAAATAAAAACAAAACAAAAAAACCTCACAAACAACCAGAAATCAAAGTGATTCATTTTTAAGGATATTACATAAACTTGAGATTTTTAACAAACTGTCCCTTCTAATTGCGAAAAACTTACCATCATTATAGTCTTGATGGTGATATGAAACATGATACCTTCTTGGATATGTTCCTCCTTTTCCAATTTTCTCAAAGATAGGGTTATCATAGTCTGCTAAGACACGTAAGAAGTACTATAGGTTATAACAAGAAAAAAAGTCAAATATTTTTAGTGATAAAGAACACATTAACAAATTTTTATATCTCCCGCCCAATCAAAACATTACCCATTGACATAAACATTTAAATGTTTAGAATTTAGATAGTCTAACCTGAAAATTCCTGATGATTATCTGGGTAGCTCTGTGCCCTAGGCATTCGTGATTTTGGATAGCTCTCTCTGTAAGTAAAGAATACCATATTAAATTAAGAAAAACTATGTAAATATGATACTTAAAACAAGTATTAGAGCTATTTAAGTGTCTTTATGTATTTGTGTGTGTATGTATATATATGTGTATACATATAGAAAGAGCACATCCTTAAATGTTAACATAACTGAAAAAAGGAGAAGCATTTTTGTAGACATTTATTTGATACAACCACGCAAAAAGACTGACTTTAAAAATTAGTATAGTGATAAGAATAAGTTTTGTAATCAGACAAACCCGTTTTAATCCTAGCTCTGCCACTAAACTAGCTGTGTAATCTTGATATAATACGTTTCTGAGATTGTTTCCTTTTCTAAAAAAATGAGGTAATAATTTCAAAGGTATACAAGGGGGCTGGCAAAAAGTTTGTTTGAAAAAATTCCAGTGTCTTTTAATTCCATTTTCCCATGAACTTTCTGAAGTCCTTAGCACTTGACCTCAAGGTTGGTTTAATCCACAAGGTTGGTGGTTCAAATTTACCAGCCACTCCTTGGAAATCCTATACTGGGTCACTATGAATCGGAACCAACTCAATAGCATTTAACAACAATTTTATACCTACAAGGCTCAGGATAGTGTCTTGCAAGTAGTAAGTACTAGTAAACAACAGTTTTCTCATTACTATTTCCCTGTATTTCTAAGTGTGCATTCCAAGACATATGTATATTTATGTATGTTTCATGTATACAAGAGAAATTTATATGCACATACCCATATACATATAATATCAGTTATCTTTTACAATTTGCTTTTGTAAAGCAATCCAAGAGTTAACTAAATAGGTAAAGATTTTAATACAGATAATGAAACTATGTGCTACAGTACTGTCAACCAAGATCTGAGAATAAGAGAGGGAGCCCTTGTAACTGAAAATTTACATTTGTAACTTGACTCCACCTGTTTTTCTGAACAGATTCTTTGCATAGCGTAAGTACTGAAATTTTTTAAATGACAACTAAAACACCATTATCAAGGCCACAATTACTAAAAATATAAATTAAGTCTAATCTGGTTTCAGAATGAACATAATCCTGAACAGGTGAAACAACTCCAAAAACACATATTAAAGATTTTGATAGTAGTTTCACCAATAGTTTAAAAAGTAAATGTACATGTATTCTTAGTTTGCTGTTAGCTTCAAATACATAATTATGGCAAGCAAGAATTCTCAGAATAGTGTAATCAGGAGAGACTCTAAAGATGTTATTTTAATTACAAAAGATACTGGGCCCCATGAGGTTAAGGGATTTTGCCCCATCTGTGAAAACATTCATTTGCCAAAAGTATAGACGAGTATCAATTGCTCTGAATGTAGTACAGAGAAAAGTTCTTGACAATTAAACAGGTTAACTACCCACATATGAGAGGATTTCAAAAAGTTTGAGGAAAATTGAATTATCTCTTCATTTCATTTTTCCATGAAGTTTCTGAAGCCTTCTTGAATATTCTGAAACAAAAGGACAATCAACATTACCCATCCAAAGGACTATCAAGTGATGGACAGCTTCCTGAACCAGAATTTTCTGGGCTGCTTAAAGACAATGGATCCAGCATCTAGAAAAATAAACAAGAGTACCACTATGATGTAATGGGGTAGAACCTAAAATTACTGTTTTTTTTTTCTCAAGCAGCTTTGTTGGTGTTTTTAAGTAACTTCAAATCAGTTCTGACTAATAGTGAACATGTATGGGTTTCTGGGGAGTGGTTGGTGAGTTTGAACTGAGGATCTTGGGGTTAGTAGTCCAATGATTATCCTACAACACCACTTAACATACCTTAACATTCACTAACTTAAACTATACATGTCAACAGTTTTTCATGTATTCACAGCATGAATATTTAGTATATTTAGGCAGGCCTCATCACAATTTTATATCACTTCATTCTAAAAATAAATGCCCTATCTATTTGCAGCCACCTTTCAGAGGCACTAGTATTCAAATGTAGTGTGTGGTGCTGTGAGTTAATGCTCTAGACTGCAAGGTGGTTTGAACCACAAGGTTGGTGGTTCAAGTTCACCAGCTGCTGCTTAGAAACCCTATACAGAGTCACTATGGTTTGGAATCGACTTGAAGGCACTTAACAACAACATCTCTTGCAGAGAAACCATCACTTCAAAAATTTCCAAAATTAAAAAAAATTTTATTGAAATAACTAAAAGCTAAAATATTTCTCATAATTTTGCTTACTGAAACTGAATGGCCTCAACCAAATTAAGACTAATGACTGTGATTGTTATATTATTAAGAAATGTAAATTATTCTACAATAGTGTGAGCATTCAGTGTAATGTTAAGGAAATAGCAACTCCAGGAAAACATCTCAATACTACAAAACAATTTTTAAAATGCTTTAGAAAGTCCACAAACTAAATAGTTAAAGATCTTAATAAAGCTAATGAAACATACATCAGGGTCACAAAGTTAAATATTTATAGTTTTACTGTCTGTTTCAAATGTTAACTAAAAAATCTGAATGTTAACCTCGGAATTACAGAGAAATGCATGAATCTATTAATTTATTTATGAATGAGCATTACATGAAATCAGTCTTCTTCTAGTATTCTTTATATTATAGTGCATAACAAGCACATGTAAATCAATGGTCATTTTACTGTATTTTTTTCTATTTTGTTCATTTAAGAAGGAAGACATACAGTTGAAGAAAAGGTTAAAAAACCAAAACACATACACCCACATTCCACACCAGGTAACTACCAAATTACACTAACCATGACATCTGTTTCAATAAAATAGAAAACTACATCAAACTTTACTTACTTGGTCCATGCTCTCTGGAATGAACTCTCCTTCGCTGTTGATACTAGTGAAGGACCCATTCCGGGCAACCTGATGTAATTCATCTGGAATGTATCCTGGGGGAGGGGAACTTCTATCTCTACTAGTAGAACCTCAAACAAAAATTATACGATTTTGTAAATATCAGCAAGAAAACCAATTGTTTTAGTTAGTGCATGCAAAATTTATGGATTATATCACCAAAAATGTTTTTTAGCAACAGAAATACCATGTTTATTAAAAGTTTTCAGAACATTCAGGTTTCTACAACTTTAAATATTTTTATATCCTTTCTAAACTCCCATTCTACTATAATGATTAAGCTCATCATAGTATTCATGTTTACATATTAAATGGTATTTTTCCTGACTTGATAATTACAGCATAGATTTTCAGATAAATGCCACTTATACCTGGGTATACGTTAGCTTATGAACATGACTTCTAGAAGGCATCATAATGTAATGGAAAGACTATAGGCCTTAGAGTCAGACCTCAGTTTAAATCCCAGTTCCAACTAGTTACAGATATGTATTTTTGAGAATGTTATTCAGCTTATAAGAATCTGTCTCATTATCTGTAAACAAGGGTGTGTGATGATTAAATTACTCAAAATGAATATTATTGTTGTTAAGTGCCATTGAGTTGGTTCCGACTCATAGAGACTCTGTATAGGGTTTCCAAGGAGTGGCTGGTGATCTTGAACCACTGACCTTATGGTTTAAACCGACTTTGAAGTCCAGCACATTAAACCACAATGCCACACCAGGACTTCCATAATGAAAATATGTTATGCATATATGGCTCTAAAATATTCTTTCCAGTCTGTTTCTTTAATCTTCAGAAACCTTAAATGTTAGATTACTTCATAGTCATTTAGTCCATATGAAGGTATTTTCAATTTGAAATCCTGGATTTTAGTCCTAGATACTGAAAATTAGGCATATTCTTGGAATTTAAATTCCTTCGTAGCTTAGAAAAATGGAGAAACTGTTATTCACTAATATAATTCACCTAATTAATCACATTCGGACATATTGTCAGGAGGGACCAGTCGCTGGAGAAGGATTATCATGTTTGGTAAGGTGGAGGGTCAGAAAAAAAGAGGAAGACTCCCAATGAAATGGACTGGCCAAGTGGCAGCATCGATGGACTCAAGTGTGGCAACAGTAGTGAGGTTGGCCCGGGATTGGGCAATGTTTCGTTATGCTGTGCATAAGGTCACTATGAATCAGTACCGACTCACTGGCACTTAAGAACAACAACAACAATTAATCACATTATTTCTTATGATACAATTGTTGTTAAGTGTTTTTGAGTCGGTTCTGATCCACAGACAAACTGTATAGGGTTTCTGAGGAGCGGCTGGTGAACTTGAACCACAGATCTTGTGGTTCAAATTGACTTTGCAGTCCAGCACATTAACCTACAGTACCACAACAAGAATCCATTATGATACAACAGCATACACTTACTTTTTTCTTACTTCTGTGAAAATGATGCCATATTTATTAACATAGTTTCTCTTCTTTCCTCTAACTCTAAAAAATTAAATTATAAAACAGACATGGGGAACTTACGTGAGCATTAAGTCTTTCAGCCTTATGTAAAGAGTTACCATTAAGTATATGCCAGCATTTGTTAGTGATACAGACAAAAAAAAGAGCAAAACTATGACCAAGAGATGTGTATAAAAAATAAATCAACTATACTTGTCTCTAAATCTTTAGGGGTTTAAATTTACAGCAACCATAGTCATAATAATCATATTGGCCACTAAAATTTTTTTTTTGCCATATACTTTTTTTTTTTTTTAAAGCTTTTATTGTGAACTGAGTGATGGTCTACATGGAAGAACATTGGTTTTGTACTCAACCTAATATATTTTGCTTCATTGTAACGATTACAATCCCTTCTATTGGTTAACAGTATTCGCTTCTATTCCCTGCTTTTTGTTTTGTTTTGTTTTTTATGTACACAAAAACATGCAGGAATATCTAATCGTTTAAACAACCAAAGGGCACGTTCTGCAAGCCAACCTCCTGACCACCACCACACAGTCTTTCTCTTGCCATATACTCTAGTTTTTATAAGGAGCTCTGGTAGTTTAGTGGTTGCGAGAGAGGCTGCTAGCCTCAAGATCAGCAGTTTGAAACTATCAGCCATTCGCGGGCGACAGATGAGGCTTTCTACCCCTGTAAAGATTTACAGTCTTGGAAACCCTATGCAGGGTCACTATGAGTCAGAACTGATTCCATGGCACACCACCACCACCACTCTTGTTTATAAAGACACCAATATCTTAATTACTACAAGTAAATAGGGAAGAAAAATGCCTGGAGAGATTCTTTCTTCATCTTCTGACTTGACAATCCATTTTTCATAACTTTTGTTACTCTTGGTTGAGACCTTCATACCAGCATACATTCCATCTCAATGAAGTTTTTTATATAACTACCTTTTGTGAAAGTAATTTAGAAGATAATTGTCAACAGATAAGGAAAAAATATAATCGTAATATCTGTTAGTCATTCCAATTCTAAAGCAATGTCAATAAGAAACCAATAATTCTATTATTTTTTAAATTTCACTTTCTATTTGAATGGCACTGAAGTCAAATACAAGAATATTTATTAGTAGGATAAGAGTGAGGTATTCAGGACAGTTTTAACTAAAAACAATTTAAAATGTCAATTTAGCTATTGCATGTAGCTTATCTAATGTAAATAATATACCAAGGACTGATCCAGAATGAACAAATCTGTCTTGAGAGAAACATAGCCAGACTGTTCCTTAGAATCAGGAAAGGCTGGTCCATGGAAAATACATCATGCTTGGTTAAAGTAGGTGGTTAGGGAAAAAGAGCAAGACCCTTAACTATAAGGATTTACATAGTGGCTACAACAATGGGCTCGTGCACAGCAACGATGTGTGGATGGCACAGGACTGGGCAGCGTCTTGTTCACACATCACTACGAGTCAGAGCTGACTCAACAGCACCTAGCAATATTGACGTAATTTAAGTGAATTGGCAATGTTTACATTAGCATGATAGATACTATCATGTGATAAGAAATGAGATGAAAAAAGAAATGTAGATTGGAAAGTAAAATGTACTTGCACCACTTTGAATTACTTAATATGGCCCTTCTAGCTATAGTCATTGTGTTGTTGTTAAATGCTGTTGAGTTGGTTCTGACCCATAGGGACCCTGTATAGGGTTTCCGAGGAGCAGCTGGTGAACGTGAACCACTAAATGAAGGGGTCAGACTATGGAGATGTGAGGCACTTACAGCCTACAAAGGAGATTAGATAGTTTCTTAATAATGGAAATAAGGTACCAGGCACACTTGTGAAGTTTGTTGTTGTTGTTAGGTGCCATCGAGTTGGTACCGACTCATAGCTACCAACTCATAGCGACCCTATGCACAGCAGAACAAAACACTGCCTGATCCTGGGCCAACCTCATTATTATTGCCATGCTTGAGTCCATCGATGCTGCCACTTATCAAGTGGGACCATGCAAATAAGTCTATGGAACTCTCAAGCACAGATTGGTTAGTTTTGCAATCACACTAGGTTTAAACTGAATCATCCCAGAAACAAAAAGGATCTCACTGCCATCAAGAAAGGAGAGCCAGAGGTGAAGACATCCAGAAATCCCTGTACTATCTATCCCTCCTGAATCTAGGAAACAGAGCTATGACACTAGAGACAGAGAAAAACAGCAGCTATGGCAGTAGAACCAGCGCGAGACAAGCATATGGGGCATCCCAGCCCAAGAAATGAGAAAGTTGAGTGCTTTTAGGCAGGAGGTTTGTTGGGAGAGTAGTGTGCCTGTGCACTTGTCTAAAGATGTAGGTTTGCCAACCCATGAAGCTAGTGATGACATTCTTTGGGCCAAGGTTTACTGATAGATCAGGATAGCTTTGGGTACATTATTAATATTTCAAGTGCTCTTCTCCTTCAGCAAGCAAGGTTGTGTCATCTGCAAATTGCAGGTTGTCAATGAGCCTCCAATCTTGATAAAATATTCTTCTTCATATAATACAGTTTCTAAGATTATCTGCTTACCAAATAGTGTGTTAATGTGCTGGATTGCAAAGTTGGTTTGAATGGCAAGACTGGTGGTTCAAGTTCACCAGCTGCTCCTCAGAAACCCTATATAGAGTTGCTGTGGGTCAGAACCAACTTGATGGCACTTAACAAACAACAACACACAGATTAAATAAGTATGGTGAAAGGATAGAATCCTGGCACACACCTTTCCAGATTTTATACCATTTAGTGTCCCCTTGTTCTAACAACTTCCTGTTGGTCTGTGCAAAGGCTCCTTTTGAGAACAATTAAGTGTTCTGGAATTCACATTCTTTGTAATGTTATCCAGTTTGTTATGAACCGCACATTCTAATGCCTTTGCATAGTCAATAAATCGCAAGTAAATATCATTCTGGTATTCCCTGCTTTCAGCCAAGATCCATCTGATGTAAACAATTATGTTCCTCGTTACATGTCCTCTTCTGAATCCAGCTTGAGTTTCTGGCAGTTGCCTGTTGATGTACTGGTACAACAGTTTGTGAATTATCTTCAGCAATATATTACTTGCATGTGATATACATATATATTTTTAAATATTTATTGTGAATTGAGTGATAGTTTACATGGGAGAATGTTAATTTTGCACTCATCCTATCATTTTTTGTTTCATTGAAATAATTACAATCCCCTCCATGTATCATCATTTAACAGTATTTACATCTATTCCCTCTGTTCTTCTTCTTCTTTTTTTTTTTTTTTTTTGATGTATACAAAAACACTCAGGAATATCTCAGCTGCTCTATCTCTCCATGCCATCACCTCTGCCTCCATCTCTGGTATTGTTGCTTCTCTGGTTAGGGTCCCATGTTCTGCTCATGCTCGGGTTCTGTTTCTGGAATGTAAGATTATCTACTCCCCTGTTTATGTTATAAAACTTCTACCTTTATAGTTGTGACGATCGCAATTAGTCATGATAACAATTACTATTGAACCAAAAGAGTCTATCCGCATCTCCTTTCACCAGACCCATCTAGACAAGGTGAAAACTATTCAGTGGGAAGTCTACCTTCCCTTG